ATAATTCCAATGAACATAGGTGCGTAATAAGAATGCATAAACGACGACAGCTATATTTAATTTACGCGCCATTATTCAGATATTTTTAGGTGGCAACGAGTTTTAAACGAGTCGAATTAATTACTTGTTATTAATTGAATTTATCAACTAGTCACCGTCTAACCTAAACTCTGCACAAAAATACATATGCTGATGAAGAAAAATATTGAAAATTTCCAACCGAATATTCCACACAAATTTAAATTTAAATCAATTCAACTTCTTATCCCACCTCATTTTGTCACACGTTTTTCAAATACTGTTGAATATTTACCTTCATGAATATATCCTCGTGAAATTACCTAATTAATATAGATTTTTTTTAACATATATAAAGTACTATTTTATCTGCCCTCAAATGTAATATTGGAGGTCCGCAAATAAATTGACCAATATTTAATTCTTTTATTAAACGATCGTTAAGACGAGTTTGTCACACATAGTTAGCATACTGTAGTTTACGTCTCTTGTGTGATTTGCAAGCTATTATACGGAGTGTAAGTTTAGTCAGTGCACCTATATGATTGACGGTAAATTCCTTCGTTACCAACAAAAAAATGTAATATCATAGAGATCGAGATAATTAAGAACTATTACAAATCAATAGCCAAAATTTATCAAAAAAAAAAATGTCTTTAGCTAACATATAATTTAAAAGAAAGTATATGTTGCAGAAGCTAAGTTATTATAACAATTTACTACACATATATATTCTACAATAACTGTCACTTTTGTAAAAAAAAAAAATTGTATATTATCTGTCATTCATTTTCAATACTGCATTAAATGTATATTTTCATGTTTTAATCTTGTTAATTAATGCAACTCTAAATATAAACTCTTATCTTTAAAATTTAAGTCATTAAATAACAATGGTCATTTTTTAATCAATATATATTTTTTTAATTTTACTAAAATCAAGTCACATTTATTGAATTTCTTTAATACAAGTGCAAAGGTGAAAAAATGAGAATAAATAATTAATAAAAAAAGTAAAAGAAATTGAGGAAAGTCGTGGGTCAAAGGGGCAAATATGGATGGTGACGGTCACAGTAATTGGGGCTTGACTAGACTTTCCAGATCAATTTCAGGCCCAACCCTTGCCTCCATTTGTACGGATGGCCCACCTACTTTTTCTCCATGTCCCAATTAATTACTATTTTTCTTTTCTTCACAAAATAATTATTTACATTTTATTATTATATATATGACCTTTTTTTTTTTTAATTTACAAAAAGGGAGCATCATTTCAATAATCCCTCTTCACTTCTATTAATAGGTAGTGGCATGTGTTCTAATTTTTTAGTAACACCTTTAAAGGCACAATTAGTACACCCACAATACATATACGTTAAAGGGGTATTAATGTTGTAGCTCAACTGGTTCCGCAACTGGTTCCGGAGCCGGTAAGTTAGTGCAAGGTCCTAGGATCGAATCCTGGCAGCCGCAGTGTGGTAATTTCAACTCCAATGAGGGTTTGTTCCTTATGGGCACCAGGTCCGGTCCGCTACCTTAACAAGCCGTTGAGTTACCATAATTTACATTCCTCCATCAATCCTTGTCGGGCCAAGGGATGGGGGTCCTGGGGCGAGGGATTTCGCCTTTTGGTGCAAGTACACCCACAATACATATATGTGCTCCAGCTTCTTAACGTATTTGTATGTGTATCGGACGAGTTTCCTTGATTTTCACGAATACCTCTTGGACAATTTTTGTAATTTTAAAAAAATATATTAACACATTTTAATTTTTTTAGTTGCTTCATCAATACTTATATGATTTAATAACCAATTCCAAATTAAAGTTGATATAATATTTTTTTTTGAATATATTTAAATAAAGTGGCATAATTTTAATTTATTATTAACTATTTTAGAATGTAAATATTAAAAAAAATTAAATAAAGTAGGATAATTATTAATTTACTATTAATTAGCTTTAAATGTTCTGGCTCCAACTTATAATCCATGCCCTGGCGACTGCGTGTAAAGATGGGCCGACACGGGCCCACCATTTTGTGGGCATCCATGTCATGCCCACCAGGAATGGGCCTCCTTTTTTCCAGTATCCATTTTAATTATTATTTTTGTTTAAAATAAATAATTTACAAAAAAAAAAGGAGGGTCGGTGGGTAGCGTGTACGACATGACCGTACGGCACTGACTGTTGTTAATTCCAACCAGACATCATCGTCAACTGTCACTGGTCCCCACTCCCTTCAACTACATGTACCACTACGTATCACACCGTACTCCGTACGCTGCGTACAAAAACGGTGTACGCTCACCAAGTAGTGTCAAATGAAGCGCGTGTCTCTCACGGAGTACTTATTTATTTTATTAATTTGGGAAAAAAGAAGGGTGGGCACTGGGTAGATAAATTATTGTGGAAGGCATAGTCATTTTATTTATGTATGTATATATTATTTAACATTTATACAAAGTATATATATAGTATTTATCATTTATTCAAATTAGTAAAATTAAACTTCAATTGTGGTGAAATAAAATTTATAATTATATATATAAAAAAAAAAAGGAATAAGAAGAAAGGGAAATGAAATTAATGTGGGTAGAAGT